AATTTTATGTAATGTCTTGAGGGCCTAGCCATCTCGATTTTTCTTCGTGCTCTTGTGCTGTACAGAGTGGGGAGTCAGGAAGCCTTTGAAACTCCTGCTTTACACATATTTTATGAATTTGCTGATGTCATCTTTTCCGTGCTGCTCGGAGCGATGGCTTTGATTATTAATGTCTTCCGTTGCTGTGATGCAGCAGCCGTTTGTGACCTGTGGGATAGACACTAAGATTCAGTTTATTGCATTTGTACAGCAGACTCCAGGGACAGAACGGCAAAATTACAGTGTAAAAACCAGATTAAAAAACATCCAAAAATTGTAACTATTTTACTATTGCAGCTTCATTCAGGAGGTGAATACTTCTATTACATTAATGGTGATTTTTGTTCTCTGAGCATATTTTTTAAAGCAATATATTATCTCCATTTCTTTTCAGGGTCTTTACCCAAGTGGGTAGTAAACAGAGCCTCACAATTAGTGGCACCGAAGGTAAGTACATTTTCTTTCTTGATTTTTTTATTTTTATTTTACATAATTTATTTGCATGATATGTGTAAAGAAATGAACTTTTCAGCATTTTGAGATTCTAAAAATGTTGTTAACGAATGGTACATACAATACCATTCAAAAAGTTGGGGTTGGTAAGATATTTTAATGTTTTCCCACATGGAAATGTAATATATAGTGCCATATCTGTTACCTATAAGGTAATAATATATACTTTTTACATACACACATTTTCTGGGTAGATATAAATAACATATATAAAATCCCCATAGTAAAATGTGTTAATAATATATATATATATAATGATTTTTTTCATATGGTAATATATGTTGCAACAATATATGTCAACAATATATTTTTATACAATAATATAAATCAACAATAGATTTTTATTTATATATGCTTTTTTAACTTTATTAAAAACATACACAAAAATCTGTATGTTTTATATATGTTTTTGTAATATTCTTTTAAAAATATATGTCTGTCCTTTATATTTACTTATGTAATATCAAAATGTATTGATGGGGTTAGGATGGATATACATGTACATGGCATATATGTCCAATACGATTGTATTGGTTATGTTAATATATAAAATTGTTTCAATTTCTACTAGGTTTCACATATGTTTTTACTTCATACGACAATACATTTCATATATGGAAATTGAATAAATACATTTGTGTTTGGTTTTAAAAGAAGCCTCAAAAACAGTAGTTTTGTGAACTATTATTGAACTGAATTTCTATTTATATAACTTTTAATAATATTTTTAAATGTAGATAATTCCTTTGATGACCCAACTGATGTTTAAAAGATTTTCCTCTGCTTCCATCTAGTGGTTAGAAATGTGCATCTCATACAAGATGTTTTATGAGGGCCACATGATGTTAAATTTGAAAATAAAAGCATCTATAAAATGCATGGTCCAGATCTTTCAACCTTTTTTTTCACAGGCAATGAAAAAGATTTACAAAGCCTGCCTAAAGTACCCGGAGTGGAAGCGGAAACACGAGCCCAATCTGAAGCCTTGGAGATACCCAGAGCAGAACATGCTACCCTGCATCAATGTGGCTGACCTGACAGTGCAGAGAGCAGATTCTCTGGAGAACATCGACGAGAGCAGTGTGAGTGAGGAGAAAGCCCAGCACCACAGCGATGATGAGGAGACCTAAGATAACTCACACTGACTCTCCTGTGTTCTGTGTGTATGCGAAAGCCACATTCTCAGACGCGGATGCTTCCCTTGCATTCATCCTGTAAATCATGCATTCTTTGGATTGAACAAAATAACATTATATTGTTTTGCAGAGATTTCAAGTCCTCCATTCTAAGGGTCTGGTTGTATTAGACGTGTTTAACTGATACGTTTTTTAGTGTATGATCAAATCATTCAGTGTAAAACGTCTTAAACAGTGTCAGTAAATACTTTGGAAGTTTAATAACTTTATTACTCAACGTTTCCAGTGCACAATGCAGATGTATTGTATTATTGTGACCCATGTAACTTTATTAAATTACTTAAATGGCGCACAACTCATTCTGTCATTCTGTCAAGCAGTAATGCAACTGATGCATTCTGAGGTGAAGATTTCCTGTGTGAGATTGCAAGAACTTCCACCCTTTTTTATTTCAAGTGACAAAGAGATGTGTATTGCACTTGCCTTGAAAAGACCTCAGGGTCTGTAAAAATCAATTCTGTGTAGTACATTAGGATCTGTCTGTGTGCTTTTAACTCAGTGGCCTTTTTCTCAGTGTCTGAAGAATAAAAAGTTTGCTCTTGTATTTCTAAAACTAGCTTTATGGAAGTATTTATCTGTATATTTCCCTTATGAAACAAAAATATACTGGACAAATATAATTCAATATATGAAATAATACAATCCATCGGAAACTAGTGCTTATATTGTTAAATATACTGCAGTATACGCATGGAACATGTATGGTTATATTCTGAAACATACAAAAATATAACAATGAAGAAAAAAAACTACATTTATACATGCAATAGCATTATTGAAACACTCAATTAATTAATTTCTTTGTCATTAGTTAAAGGTTTACACAAAGCTGAACACATATTTATAAACTTTTATTTCACTTTATTGTTTGCATAATGTACATTTCATATCAAATATACAGTATGCAATGGTATATGAATAAAAAGTTTGCTCTTGTATTTCTAAAACTAGCTTTATGGAAGTATTTATCTGTATATTTCCCTTATGAAACAAAAATATACTGGACAAATATAATTCAATATATGAAATAATACAATCCATCGGAAACTAGTGCTTATATTGTTCAATATACTGCAGTATACGCATGGAACATGTATGGTTATATTCTGAAACATACAAAAATATAACAATGAAGAAAAAAAACTACATTTATACATGCAATAGCATTATTGAAACACTCAATTAATTCATTTCTTTGTCATTAGTTAAAGGTTTACACAAAGCTGAACACATATTTATAAACTTTTATTTCACTTTATTGTTTGCATAATGTACATTTCATATCAAATATACAGTATGCAATGGTATATAAAAAAGGGGTTTACTAAAACATAAGTTATAATCATGACAACATGGTTATAACTGATATATAACACTATATATGTTCATGTATGTGTAATATTGTGTACATATATTACACATACATGTTCCCATATAAATGTGAACATGATAATAAGTCATGCTAGATGAGTTGTACTCAGCATTTGTATCCAGAAAGTTATATAATGCTGAGGGAAATTCTGATTAGTATTTTTATTTATGATGACCATTTAGAAATGAACTTTTGTTCATCTCAGATTTAAGGATTTGTTGTTTGAATAGAAATGCTTTCCTTTTTCTTTTGGCAGTGAGGAAGGTTTATTCACAATGGCATCCTTTTTCTTCATCCATAAACGTACAGCTGGGGACCACTCCTCAAAACCTCTATTGTCTCAGACACTTCCTGCTTCCCATTTGAAACACTTCCTGCCTACATCAATCAGATTGGGCTGTAGGGGAGAAGAGGAAACTCCATAAGTGAACCCTCCGGCTTTCTCTCATAACAAAGTCCTATTGCCTTTGCAGCACAGATCATGCCTTTCTTCACATCATCTTCATTTTGAACCTAAAAACCCACACTTATAAACACCCTACTGTGAACTTACCAGAATACTCATGACGTCACATAATATGACAGTATAAGATTTTCACTGTAGGATTTGTAAGAATGCTGGAAATATTCGATAAAGCTATATTTATAGATATGAAGCGAGTGTATTTGTTAGCAAGGTGTCAGTCAATGTCAGTAAAAAGCATGCTTGGGATGATATATGAGATAGCCTATGTGATGTGTGTCATTTCCAGCCTTAATTTAATAAAAATATGCAAAGTTAAAATATTATTTAAATATGTATTTAGGATACACAAAATGATAGCTATTAAACAAGCATTTAAAATACAAATAGCTGTCATTTTATAAAAAAAAAAATACCTTTACATCTCAGAGTGCTGTAAAACAATTACATACACTCTTAAAAATAACGGTGCTTCAAAAGGTTCTTCAAGCGATGCCATAGAAGAACCATTTTTGGCTCCACAAAGAAGCATTCAGTCAAAGGTTCTTTAAAGAACCATCTCTTTCTTACCTTTTTATAATCCGAAGAACCTTCTTTCGCCACAAAGAACCTTTTGTGAAACAGAAAGGTTCTTCAGATGTTAAAGTTTCTTTATGGAACCATTTAGACAAAAAGGTTCTTCTATGGCATCGTGAAGCACCTTTATTTTTAAGAGTGTAGGCTAATGCAAAGATATTGTGGTGAAAATATTCATGACTTTAAGGAAAAAAAGACAAAATCGATATTTAAAAAAAAAAAATTAGCCTACATTATTAAATAAAGTAGTAACCTATTGGTTGTGTTCATATTCAAGAAGGGCCACGTACACGTATTTAGAAACACCAATAATCAGGTAATGTTGAGTATTTTAAAAACTGTCTGTAGGCCTATTTGTGTCGATTTGCAGGCCACACCATACAGCTAATTAGCGTAAGGACTACAATTGTTGTCTGACTGATCAAGAAGGTGAACTCACATCCTTGTGGTAGTTGTAGTCCTTATTTAGCAACGTGACTGTGTGCAGTTTATATTTCAGAACAACACGTGAAAGTTACTTAATTCAGGCAGCCCTTATCATAAATTAACCGTGAGTTAAAAAACCCATATACTTGGGGAAAACTGGAAAATGCTATTGTCCTAACTGAACCGCTCACTGCCTGCACATGTAATTTTTCCATTTAAAGCGTGATTTTTATTGCAGATGAAAGAAAATGATTTAAAACCATTTGTAACATGGCTAACTGTGTGTGTCCTTTAAACCATTATAATAATTTTTTTGTGGCCTGAGTGACCAACGCTAACAGTATGGAGATTAAACTGTCCCTAAACACGTCTCTGTCCCTTTAAGAGGTCAGTTAATGCTCAGCAGCGCAGTGCTCTGAAAGCCCCGGCACAACAAACACAACTATCAGCGGCTCAACAACACTCAAACTTTCTCCTGCACGTCTCACATTACTGGCGTTTAAAACGCTCCGCATCAACACAGCGCGATATAACGGGGATATGTAACGCGAATCAATTACGGTAAGAAGCGATTTTTACATTCAGACTGACATCTGATAACATCTAACAAGTCTAAGTTAACTAAGATCTGTAGCGGGCAGTTTGATTCATATCTGAAGGCTGCCCACTGTTTAAAGTTGTTAGATGTTCCAACTTTTAAGGATAGTTTATTATTATAACTCGCTTTTCGTAGTCTTGGTGCTCTGAAATGATCCCAGACCTTATGAAAAAGGTAAAAGTGCTGTCAGGTGAAGCTGAATTTTTTTAGTTAAGGTCGTGAGTTGAACTATGACCCAGCTGAGTGTTGACTGTTCTGAAGGAGTTCCATTGATTCTCATGTCAGGCTCAGCTGCAGCAGTGCATTGGATCCTCATGCACTGCACTGTAACATATACTGTAAGATTGGCTCTATAGGGTGTTACTCACTGAGGAATCTGATATCCACAGGCTTTGCACCCGCTGAATGCCACAGTTTAGTTTAAACTGATTTAGAAACACCCAGAGCTAATTTGCCAGTTCCTTATAGACACATCCTAACTGAACCGCTCACTGCCTGCACATGTAATTTTTCCATTTAAAGCGTGATTTTTATTGCAGATGAAAGAAAATGATTTAAAACCATTTGTAACATGGCTAACTGTGTGTGTCCTTTAAACCATTATAATAATTTTTTTGTGGCCTGAGTGACCAACGCTAACAGTATGGAGATTAAACTGTCCCTAAACACGTCTCTGTCCCTTTAAGAGGTCAGTTAATGCTCAGCAGCGCAGTGCTCTGAAAGCCCCGGCACAACAAACACAACTATCAGCGGCTCAACAACACTCAAACTTTCTCCTGCACGTCTCACATTACTGGCGTTTAAAACGCTCCGCATCAACACAGCGCGATATAACGGGGATATGTAACGCGAATCAATTACGGTAAGAAGCGATTTTTACATTCAGACTGACATCTGATAACATCTAACAAGTCTAAGTTAACTAAGATCTGTAGCGGGCAGTTTGATTCATATCTGAAGGCTGCCCACTGTTTAAAGTTGTTAGATGTTCCAACTTTTAAGGATAGTTTATTATTATAACTCGCTTTTCGTAGTCTTGGTGGTCTGAAATGACCTTATGAAAAAGGTAAAAGTGCTGTCAGGTGAAGCTTAATTTTTTTAGTTAAGGTCGTGAGTTGAACTATGACCCAGCTGAGTGTTGACTGTTCTGAAGGAGTTCCATTGATTCTCATGTCAGGCTCAGCTGCAGCAGTGCATTGGATCCTCATGCACTGCACTGTAACATATACTGTAAGATTGGCTCTATAGGGTGTTACTCACTGAGGAATCTGATATCCACAGGCTTTGCACCCGCTGAATGCCACAGTTTAGTTTAAACTGATTTAGAAACACCCAGAGCTAATTTGCCAGTTCCTTATAGACACAACAACTGTGGGAGTCACTGGGGAATTTGCAAGAATAACATGCCATTTTGGAGGCCTCTGCAGAAAACATTTTCATTCAGCATGTTTATGTGCCTGATAGGGAGAAGCTCTACAATTAGCCCACACTTTTTGGGAGAAATCATTACTTTTAAAGTAGGCAGCCTACAGGTTTGTACTTTTAAAATTGTTCTTACACCCCTGTATATGCCATATCTCTAACTGAGCTGATTCTTAAATGCAGATTAAGTTCTCACAACATGGGCGAGTGTATTAATTGTGATAAATCTCTTGTTGCATAATCTGACCTGTATTTCCCTCGCTGCTCTTCGTGATACTTGGAGGACGGGACATATTTTCAGATCTGGCAGAGGTTTGAACATTGGAATGAGCCGTATAAAGGTTCTGGATGTGATTATTAATTTTAAGTTTACAATCTAATCCGGTGTTTTTATTATGTATGATTATTCTTGAAATATTGCAGACATTCAGTTAATCTACTGTATTCTGATTCTGCAGCTCCGCTCATATCCTATATAGTTTTGTTGCTCACCAAAGCTGCAATTATTTGATAAAAATACAGTACATACGCTAATATTAAATATTATTACAATTTAAAATTGTTTTCTAATTTAATACATTTTAAAATGTAAATTATTCCTGTTATGCAAAGCTGAATTTTCAGCATCATTACTCCAGTCTTCAGTGTCGCGTGATCCTTCAGAAATCATCACAATATTCTTATTCGGCTTTCAAAAATAAAGAATAATCGGTTATCGGTATCGGCCAAAATTTTCATATCGGTGCATCCCTAATTCTAACGTTGAAAACAGTTGTGCAGCTTAATATTTTCATAAAAAAATGTCAGGATTGTATGTAATATAATGCAATCTAAATCTATTATAATATAATAATATAAAAGCAAGCAAAACAATTAAATTGCCAATGGCAAATGTACTGCAATGCAGGAAAAAAATTAATGCAACAAATTATTAAAATAAACATATATTATGTAAAAAATAAAAAGAGAGGAAGATTTTGATTAAATTTATGTTTTCATTTTTTTTTTATATGCGCATGCATCGGCTGCTTCAATATTTGCAGTTTAGTTTGAATTTTCTCTTTGTTATTGGCTATTTTTGTTGGGCATTACGCGATCTGATATGGTGCAATGCAGGAAAAAAATTAATGCAACAAATTATTAAAATAAACATATATTATGTAAAAAATAAAAAGAGAGGAAGATTTTGATTAAATTTATGTTTTCATTTTTTTTTATATGCGCATGCATCGGCTGCTTCAATATTTGCAGTTTAGTTTGAATTTTCTCTTTGTTATTGGCTATTTTTGTTGGGCATTACGCGATCTGATATGGCTTTAATGTGAAAGCGTAGGTTATCTTGCAGCAGTGTGGTTTCAATCGAGTTAGGGAACTGAGATCTCAATATGTGTTTGAGCAAGGGTCCAGCGTATTAATACACAAGTGTGTTCTGTCATCTCAGCTACGCGGCCTCCACCAGTTGTGAACAATGACGTATTGTGTCACACAATAGTGATTCACTGTTATTTATACCCCCCCCCCCCCAGCACACTGCATCCCAAAAGCCTCCTTGATTCCTGCGTTGCACAAATTGCTTTTGACTCTACAGCTTCCACTAATTGTTCGTTCTGGAAGCCCAGGGATGTTTGAGTAGGATATGAGAGGGAAAGATGTTTAGAGATGTTTTTCTCCTTTGGCTCCATCACAACCCACAAACCAGTGCTATCGACAGGTCACGAAGCATGCTTTTCCATTAATAAAAATAAAAACAACAACAAATCATCATGCAAAAGAATAACAACAAACAGAAATAAAAGCACTTAAAAAAAGTTAGGCCTACTCAATTAAACTGCATTCTCACTGTCCTCCCATGACACTGAATTACATTAGCCGAGGCTTTATTTGATTTATGTGTTAGTCCGTGCCTGTGCCATTTATTGAATGGTGTGCTAATGTCTTCACTTCCTGTTGCATGTTCTGTCGAGATGTAGAACTTCAAAAGTGGTGCTGTTTGAATCTCTCGAGAGTATGAAACATCATTTGAAATGCAAATAGTAATTGTCCTGCTGATAAAGATTACTGTTCAGATAGAAACCCAAGATCATTTAGGGATCATTCTGTCACAGAAGTGTTTCCTTCCCATTAAGTTCTGGGCAACGAGTCCATTCCATTCCATTATGGTTTGAGATTGTGTTGTTTTCACATGAATTTATCATGAATCAACTGGGTGGAATTGAAACAGCTTTTTAGGTTGTTCCCAAAAAGGGCTCACAGCATGATTGGCATCAGTTGGAATTAGTGCTTATGACTTATGGACTATGCAAAATAAATAAATAAAAATATTGCAAGCATGAACAACGTAAGTAATTGAAAATTCAACACATGTTTTGCTCGAGTTACTTGATATTTGGAAAACCTGCCAAAAAAGGCTACAGACATAAAAATGTAGGTTGAGGAAATACCAGATTAAGAGAGCTTAAAGGGTTAGTTTACCAAAAAAATAAGAAACTTCTGTCATAAATTACACATCCTCATGTCATTCCAAACCTAGGACTTCTTTCATTTTTAAAACCTAAATTAAGGTATGTTTTTAAAGAATCCTGAGAGATTTCTGCATCAATTGAAAGTCCATGCAAACCCAAACTTTGATGTACAAACAACATCATAAAAGTAATCCAATATGAATCGAACAGTTTAATCCAAGTCTTCTGAAGATCATTTTTATATGATGAGCATTGAGGTTTATTGCAAGCACGGTTGATCTACTGTGTTTATCATACAGTGGTGGTTGACAGTGACACTGTCCAAGCTATGGGCAAATAGCCCCACAGCCTTAAGTCTATTGAGACAAGGCTAAGGGAGCACCCCTGACAGAAAAGCAATGCACTGGAGGTGCACAATAGTACCTTTAACAGATGAAGATGGGGGACCGGTTGTCCTGGGGCCACCCTTGCCACCGGGATTTACCTCCTCATGGTGAAGATAGTGCTTCTGGGGATGGCGCACCCCCTTTGGCACTTTAAAACTCTCCTTGTGCAGGTCTCCACCTCTGACCACGGTGATAATATAATAATAAGCGAAAAATGTGTGGTAACGTGTCATAACGTGTCTATGTACAGTGATTGCTTGCGTTAGTAGCTCATATTAACGCAAGTCTTATTTGCTGACTTCATGCATCATCACTGGCTTAATTTGGTAATACGGTTCCAAAAGGGTACAGGAAATGTGTATGACCGCACACAGTTGTCTCAATGGATGAGAATGAACGGCTCTTTTATTGCGTAAACTCAGTGTGATTGCTGATGTGCCTTTGACCATAAAAGACTTATTCTCTTAGTTGCTTTGGTGTCTAGCATTTACATGATTAACTTATGTAAAATGGTTCAAATTTCAGGTGTTTTGTGGCGGTTTTTAAGAATCAGAAGAGCTTGTCAAGGAGTCACAGTTTGTAGATTGTGTGAAAGTACTTTCTAGGTTTTATTTGTGCCGCCTCATTCAAATCAGTTTCATTTTATGCAACATTATCAATGGGAATACAACCTTTCTTATGGTTTCAGATGGCTGCGATGATCTCCAGTTCATCTGTGTATCATGCACAGTATCTATTTTCCTCTAGTGTGGGAGAGAGGAGGAGGGTTTTGTTTGAGGGACAGCTGTATCCTGTGTATTCAGTAGTTCGGAGAAAACCCAGATCGGCCATCAAGATAAATATAGTTGGGGCGGGGCGGGCAGAGCAGGGCATAGTTTTCCCAGCTAAATGCACGTTGATTGTTGTTTGAGATGGTAGCCATCTTGCTTTGCGAGATGTGGAGAATGATTTGAAGATGCTGCTGGAATAAGATGGTATGTCCTGTTGGTTCCAGCCACCATCTTAACCTTGTCTAGACCTTCATCTACGAGAACAGGCCTGCCTGAGACTGTCTCCTCAATCATCAAGGCTCTTATCTGCAAGTGTCCCTTCCCCCGGCGGGATCCCCTGGGCACTCGGTGGAGGGAATTCACTCATTAGACAAACACCCCGTTTATAGTGCGTCGTTCCGACGCGTCCATCACAGCCTTTTCTTGTAAGGTTGTAGGGTGTTTGGGATGGTTACTTCTGGCCCAAGTCATAACATTATATTATAATCTCTTCTTTGGCCATTTTATCATCCATTAGGCAAAAATCATGTTCGCTCTGTACTTGTAAGTCAAAAAGAAATAGCCTTTTCTCAACAAGCCGCATGGTTTGAGGTATTGGTAATGGTTTAATATTTAGGCTTCTTGGTTTGTGCAAATCCTTAACCCTAAATATAGGCTATAATATTAATAGTAATACAAATAAACAGATGGTGGTTTGCTGTGCTGTCTGTTGTTGGGTGGCAAATCAGTTGCAAATCTAATGCACTGTATGCTGTAAAATTGAGAAATTGTGGTTTTGATCTTTCGTGGTTTCCTTTTTCTGTACAAAATATTCCCTGTCTTAAGCACAAAACTATAACTGTAGTACATGTGGTTGCAAACTGAAACAAACATTGGGAGTCTGCAGGTCAGCCTGATAAAATGTGATGTAAATGTTGCTGTGTGATGTCACTGAAAAATACATGAACATAGCTATTTTGTTAAAGGGGTCATATGATGCGATTTCAAGTTTTTCTTTCTCTTTGGAGTGTTACAAGCTGATTGTGCATAGATAAGATCCCTGAAGTTGCAAAGACTAAACTCTCAAAACCAAAGAGATATTCTTTATCAAAGTTAAGACTCTGCCATGCCCCCCTAAAACAGCTCGTTCTAACACGCCCCCACATATCTACCTCACTATGTGGAAATATTTGCATAATGCCGCCCAAATGTGAAAAAAAGTTGAAATTGCTTAAATGATTTTTATGAGTTAAAGTAACTTAAAAACATAAGTTGTCATGGCTTTTTCATCATATCATTTTTTACAGTGTACTTACAGTCAGTTTGGTGAAGCAAATCCATAACTAGATGAAGGAAATGCCACTGATTGTGAGGAAGAAAGCAAAAAGTGTAAGCTTTTAAGCTTTGATTCTGGGAACAGTACTATTCAAAATTTTGGGATCTGCAAGAATTTTTTGTGCAGTCTCTTTTGCTCACAGAGGCTGCATTTTTTGAACAAAAATACAGTAAAATCTGTAATAATGTGAAATATTATTACAATTTAAAATGGCTATTTTCTGATTTAATATATTTTAAGATGTAATTTATTCCTGCGATGCAAAGCTGAATTTTTAGCAGCATCATTAATCCAGTCTTCAGTGTCACGTGATCCTTCAAGAATCATTCTAATATGCTGATTTACTGCTCAAGAAACATTTCTTATTTTTGTCATTGTTGAAACAATTGTCCTGCTTAATATTTTTGCAGAAGCCGTGATACCTTTTTTAGAACTCTTAACAGAAAATACAAAAGGACAGGATTTATTCGAAATACAAATATTTTGTAACGTCATAAATGTCTTTACTGCCACCTTTGATCAGTCTGATCCATCATTTCCTGAAAAAAAATGATTAATTTCTTTCAAAGAAAAAACTTTTCAACAGTAGAAAAGCCATGTCAGAGCCACTTTGTCATTTTCATGGCACTCCACAATACACGTTTAAACACGAATCAACACACAGCCATCACTTTGTTGTGGAAAGTGAATGCAAAGAAGGAAAGACCAATCATAATTTGGTATGCAAACAGATGTAAGAGAGAAGACCAGTTGCAATACAGCCAGCAAATTTTACAATGACATCCTCACTACCAGTGACATTTTGAATTCTGAACAAGTCAATAAGACATTTTCAAACTTTAATGTAAGTTATGTAAAAATTTACAATTTACAAAAAGCTAAAACAGGCAGATATTATCTACAGAACAAATCTGAAAGCAATCTGTATATTAATGGCTTCAGACTGAATTAATTACAGATGTTTTGCCACTGGTTGGCTTGTTTGGCTTCACGATGACGGTCTTGCTGAAGGGAGTTTTTCTACATTGCTGCTAGGGGAAAAAGACAACACCCGGACCCGTTTCTCTCCTTTCCTCAGGTCACACTTTATCAGTCCGCCTCACAAGCTTCCTGCCTCCCCCCTCGCCGTGGGATCCGGTGAATCAGAGTGGCCGAGCCAAAGGTTAGCATCCAGAGTCCAGACAAAGGAAGATGAGGATATGACTCATCAGCCTTTTTTAACAGCCTTCCAACGTCTGCTTTCCTACTCAGACTCAGTGTTGTTGAGCAAAATAGACCAAGTTGACATTATTGTGGCTTTTTAACACATTTTTGACTTTTTATCGTCTTTCGTAATTTCAGTGGAGCGATTGTGATCTCTGCCGCAAATAGAAAGCGTGCTCGTAATTACCTCCAATTTGAGATGTCCTTGAGAGAGAACACTGTGCATCCTTTGCGGGTTGGAGATGTCCACCCTGTGATGAGCGTTTATCCAATCATCACTCCTACCCATCAGGCTCCGCCCCCCCTGGAGGTCATGGAATCTAGCAGCTCTCTGTTCCTGGGTTTGGCTGTATGCCGCTCGTATAGCCTTGAGATTCCTCTTAGGCCACCGTTCTCAAATGCTGTCAGTCTTTTGGACACGCAGTCAGGAAAGTGTCAGGAATGTTTATAAAAAAGCATTCGCACTTGGTCGCTCCCAAAGTTATGCCATCCCCGCCAAACAAGCTTTGCCCCACCCACATGGATTTTCTCCCAGGCCCACCCTAGTGGAGTCTTTTTTTCTCGACTGGTTCCCTCATGTGCACCACGTTTTCAACAGCTTTCCCTCAATGAATGGAGGCTTCGAAAAATAGTCCTAAGAAATATGACCGTATTGTTATTGCTTGCATGTGCGCCGTGTTACAGCTTATCATGGTTTGCGATACTGTAATATTCCCATTTGTGTTCACCCTGAATGCTCATTTTCAGATGGTACAAAGATTAGTTTTTTTCGCTCAATGACTGTTTTGTTCCAGTGCAGTGGTTTTAAGAGTCTATGAGCAGGGTCATGTCATCGTCTGCAAATGTCAGGGTGATTCAGTCTCAGGCGGATGAAAAATGCTCGCTGTCATAAAAGACCATTAACCTCCCTGCAACTATCAGCCGTGTCTTTTGTTTGTCAAACTTACAAAGGTGGACATTAATTATTTTGTAAGATTTAAATGACTGGTTGTCTTTGCATTTAGGCACAATTTTAGTATAATAATTGCATTATTGTATTTTTATTTTTATTAAAATGCATAATGAAAATAATATGGATAATATTATTGTTATATTATAATATATTGTTTTTTTTATTGCTATTTGTACAATGCAAAACAGGGAAATTCCAACAACGTATAACACGATCACCAGGATGAACACAAAATAAATATGCAAAAAAAAGCAAGGAGCAAGACTTTAGACAAATTATTGTTGTTTATTATTTTTATTATGTAAAAATCTACTGTAATCTTTATTATTCCTTCTCCATTATTTTAATTACATTTGAACTGTGCACATGTACACAAGTATTTGCATATAACAAAGAACAGGAACAAGAAAACAAAACACACACACAAAACATCTCCGTACCTTACATTAATATTCATTACCACCTCTGTTCTTAGTTTTCTGTTAGCACTTCACTAACACCACCATGTTTTAAGAATGTGTTTTCTTTTACATTGAAATATTTGTTACAATATATGCTCAAATATATTTTCAGTGTAAAGTAATAAGCTGTTTTACTTGCAGGATAGGCTATATGTTTATAAATATACATTTTCTTCTTTTTTTAAATCAATCTCCTTATGGTATAAATGAAACAAAACAAAAAAGTAAACGTCACAATGGAATATTAACATCAAGGATCTTTTCTGTCATTTCTTTCACATATTTCCAAAACAGTTTAATTTTTTCACACTCTCATATGGAAGCATACCTTTAAATTTATGATATCTTAAGCGAGTATCAGGGACATTTTCATGATATTTTTGCAATACAGTTGTGGGTTATGGAAGTCCACATTAACCTTTTGTATTTCAGCAATTTCTGGTGAGTGTTCATTTTTTATGACTGAGTGTTTTTACATACTTCCATTAGTCTTTGTTTGTATAATATAATGTATTTCATATATTATTTATGTGCTGGACTGAGGGTGGATCAAATTATTGGTGGATTAGTGATAGTAAAAATGGTAGCCATTGACTTCCATAGTATTGAAAAAAAATACTATGGAAGTCAATGGCTGCCATCAACTATTTGATGTAAATGACAGAATTTTTATTTTGTGAACTATCCATTTAAAGAGGTCTTTTCTTTGCAATGAAGCCTATTTTCTTTGCTTGTTTTCTCAGATGAAGGACTGGTGTCGTCTTCTGCTCTTGGCTGGAATTGCTGCTGTCTTGCATGCAGCTTAATGAGCACCCATGCACACTATGGCAACAACAATCAGTCCATGCTCAGATGCAGAGGACCTGTTGGCTTCCATCCACCTCGAGAGGTATCTGGACCACTTCCGTCAGGCAGGCTTTCTCCTCGCCCGAGACTTCTGTCATGTGGACAATGTGGCTCTGAACAGGGTGGGAGTCACTGCAACCGGCCACAGGAAGCGTATCCTCAAACTGATCGAGCACATTCAGCTGATATGTCAACATCAAAGGAAAGAGCCCTTGCTAGATCGCTGTAATTCAGATTCTGCTATTCACGAGGTGACCCCTGTCAAAGCGGAGCCTCATTCTCCTTCAAGACACCCTAGCACTGCCTTAGAAGCCTTACGTAACAGCTCGGCCCCGAATCTTTGTGCACAAGTGAAGCGCTCGTTCTCAGAGCGGAGCGCCAGTGTCGTAAAGCCGGTACCAAAACCAAGAACTGTCTTCCACAGATTAAGAGCAGACATAATTTCTTTACCAACACAACATGAAGTGCAACCTCGTCAAAAGTCATCTCAGGACCCGCTTTTAAAAGTTGCAGAAGGTTCATCCTCCAGTACAGACACTGTTGAAACACCTACTGAATCAAAAAAGGGCCCTTGCGAATCAGGTTTGAGTAATACCACTTCGGCCCCAGAGACTAGTGATCTATTACCCCCAGTGCCCCCTAGGTTAAATCGAGGAATTCCCCCATCCACATTCAGGAAAATGTCGAACCAGGAGCGTCTGAGAACTCCTCCTGACACCCCCTCGAGTTATCAGTGCTCTCCCTTCACTAACATGCTCGGTTCACCTCCAAGTTCACCCTGCTCAGGGCTAGAGATGGTCTCTAATGAAATCTACTGTGGCACTTTACCAGGCACTCCACGTGTGTTTTGGAGTCGCTCTGTACCCGTTCTGCCTCCACGCCAGGAGGTCAGCCCATCCACTGAAAATCATAGGTAAACTCTTGTTAAATCTTGTCATTCTGTTGTATTGTGATTCTTACGACTGTGACAAAGTTTTTTTAATCTTTATACAGCTAACTATAGTTTCTCCTCCTATAGCACTTTAGAAAAGTCAGTCACTGCAACCGGCCACAGGAAGCGTATCCTCAAACTGATCGAGCACATTCAGCTGATATGTCAACATCAAAGGAAAGAGCCCTTGCTAGATCGCTGTAATTCAGATTCTGCTATTCACGAGGTGACCCCTGTCAAAGCGGAGCCTCATTCTCCTTCAAGACACCCTAGCACTGCCTTAGAAGCCTTACGTAACAGCTCGGCCCCGAATCTTTGTGCACAAGTGAAGCGCTCGTTCTCAGAGCGGAGCGCCAGTGTCGTAAAGCCGGTACCAAAACCAAGAACTGTCTTCCACAGATTAAGAGCAGACATAATTTCTTTACCAACACAACATGAAGTGCAACCTCGTCAAAAGTCATCTCAGGACCCGCTTTTAAAAGTTGCAGAAGGTTCATCCTCCAGTACAGACACTGTTGAAACACCTACTGAATCAAAAAAGGGCCCTTGCGAATCAGGTTTGAGTAATACCACTTCGGCCCCAGAGACTAGTGATCTATTACCCCCAGTGCCCCCTAGGTTAAATCGAGGAATTCCCCCATCCACATTCAGGAAAATGTCGAACCAGGAGCGTCTGAGAACTCCTCCTGACACCCCCTCGAGTTATCAGTGCTCTCCCTTCACTAACATGCTCGGTTCACCTCCAAGTTCACCCTGCTCAGGGCTAGAGATGGTCTCTAATGAAATCTACTGTGGCACTTTACCAGGCACTCCACGTGTGTTTTGGAGTCGCTCTGTACCCGTTCTGCCTCCACGCCAGGAGGTCAGCCCATCCACTGAAAATCATAGGTAAACTCTTGTTAAATCTTGTCATTCTGTTGTATTGGGATTCTTACGACTGTGACAAAGTTTTTTTAATCTTTATACAGCTAACTATAGTTTCTCATCCTATAGCACTTTAGAAAAGTCCCTCGTCAAAAGTCATCTCAGGACCCGCTTTTAAAAGTTGCAGAAGGTTCATCCTCCAGTACAGACACTGTTGAAACACCTACTGAATCAAAAAAGGGCCCTTGCGAATCAGGTTTGAGTAATACCACTTCGGCCCCAGAGACTAGTGATCTATTACCCCCAGTGCCCCCTAGGTTAAATCGAGGAATTCCCCCATCCACATTCAGGAAAATGTCGAACCAGGAGCGTCTGAGAACTCCTCCTGACACCCCCTCGAGTTATCAGTGCTCTCCCTTCACTAACATGCTCGGTTCACCTCCAAGTTCACCCTGCTCAGGGCTAGAGATGGTCTCTAATGAAATCTACTGTGGCACTTTACCAGGCACTCCACGTGTGTTTTGGAGTCGCTCTGTACCCGTTCTGCCTCCACGCCAGGAGGTCAGCCCATCCACTGAAAATCATAGGTAAACTCTTGTTAAATCTTGTCATTCTGTTGTATTGGGATTCTTACGACTGTGACAAAGTTTTTTTAATCTTTATACAGCTAACTATAGTTTCTCCTCCTATAGCACTTTAGAAAAGTCCAACTCAACTGAAACACCTAAAAGAACATCTGGTAGGTTTATTACTGACCCTTATTTCAAACTTTGTTGTGGAAAATGTTATTATTTACTCGCCCTAAAGTTGTTCCTAATATTTATGACTTTCTTTCTTCCAACAAGTGAACAGTGTAGTTTTCTGTACGATGAAAGTGAATTCACTATTATTATAAAAGTTTGGGGTCAGTACAAATTTTTTTTTCTTTTTTATTTCAGCAATTAAATTTGTGGAAAATGTTATTATTTACTCGCCCTAAAGTTGTTCCTAATATTTATGACTTTCTTTCTTCCAACAAGTGAACAGTGTAGTTTTCTGTACGATGAAAGTGAATTCACTATTATTATAAAAGTTTGGGGTCAGTACACATTTTTTTTTCTTTTTTATTTCAGCAATTAAATTTATCAAAAGTGACGGTAAAGACATTTATAATGTTTCAAATAAATGCTATTTTTTAAACTTTCTTTTCTGTAAGAATCCTAAAAAAGTAGATCATGATTTAATTTCCACAAAAATATTTAGCAGCACAACAGTAAAAGGGTTGTAATAATTTTTTTTGTATAACCCCAGTTTTACTACAAATACCATGGCTAAACTATAGTAACCATATTTTTTTATGGGATTACAATTCTGCCACAATTCTGTCACAATTCTTTTGTCTCGCAAAGAAGAAAGTATTTCGAACGCACGAAAATCTATTTTGCATTTAAAATACGTTTTTGGATGTGTGCAGACCTTCTCTTTTGCGCGTGCAACGTTTCACTAGCTTGCTCACCTGATGCCCGCCCTCAGTGCTCGCTAAATGCCAACAGCTCGCGTGCTCAACACAGCCCAGCGTTACAATGTGCCATAATTCCAGCCAATCACAGCATTTCTTGCATTACCTCGACAGCAGAAGAGGAAAAATACAGTGCATGCATAATTATTATGCAAGTTGATATTCTGATTATATTTTTTTCCAAAATATGATCTTTTCGCTCAAAATATGATCTTTCGCGCGCAGAATTGTGACAGAATTGTAATCCCATATTTTTTCACCTTAAGAGTACACGATGAATATAGATATTTATTATTACAAAAGATTTATAAACCCGCTCCAAAGTCCCAATCTGAATCAAAAGATTTGCGATACGTGAAGTTCCCGTCTAAATAAAATGACTCGCAAACCCGCTCTGAAGCCCCTATCTGAATAAAAAGATTCACGAACATGCTCCAAAGTTCTGATCTAAAACAAAGGATTTGTGATCATCCGCGCTCTGAAGTTCCGATCTCAATCAAAAGATTCGCTAACCATATCATTCAGATTGGGACTTTGGAGCGCAGATCGCAAATCATTCAATTTGAAAAAATTATTGGCGAACTCACTCCGAAGTTGCTCCGAAGTTCCGATCTAAATCAAAAGATTCACAATACGTGAAGTTACGATTTAAATCAAATGATTTGCGAACCCACTCAGAAGCCTTGAAGTCCTGATCTGAATCAATTGATTCACTATACACGATCCAAAAAGCTCACCCATAACTATATCGTACGTATATACGTGCTTTTTAAAATCAATACAAGTAATGTCGAAATTCAAAAATTTAGCATAATATGACTCACTCAATTGAATCGGTTTGTCTGTTCCTCCGCTTCAGCCGTCTTCAGCCATGTCAGTACTACTACTGGCTTAGCTCGCTAGTTTAATGACATTAACTGAAATAAGCGAAAAAAGTATGTTTACAAATAAAACATCCACATTTCCATTCCGAAGATAAGTTTACTGCTAACCAGTGAAAACACTCCATTAAAATGACAAGCTTCACCTCAAAATACATGTTAGATGTAAACATTGTGCTTTATGATTTAGTTTGTAGCTTAATTCACTATATTTTAAATAGTTTGACCACTGTAATTCAGTTGGTGATGGTTCAGTAGGAAATCAGTTGAAAGCATCCAGCCATCTCATACCACTGAAGTGAATGTTAAATTTATCAGTGTATATTGTAATAAAATTATTGTTGTATCTGATTGTATTAGTCTGTATAGAGTGATAGTCAATGTAAAAAGAGCAAATGGGAGAAGCAGATGAACACGAATCAGCATAATATAAAGTTAAAGAGGGTAATAAATCATCAGAATGATTTCTGAAGGATCATGTGACAATGAAGACTGGATTAATGATGCTGAAAATTCAGCTTTGCAGCACAGGAATCATTTACATTTTCAATATATTCAAACAGAACAGTTATTTTAAATTGTAATAATATTTCGCAAAATTACTTTATATTATAATTTTTTAACAAATGCGGCATTGGCGATCATACATAAAAAATCTTATCCAACCCCAAACTTTTGAACAATAGTGAAATGCGCTAAAAACTTGCCATCCGTTATCAACCTACTGCCTCACTTGTGCATATTTGCCTTTTTATGTTATGATTTGAGAGCTATGCTGGATAGGAAGATTTTCATTAAACAGTGGCTTTAATGTGCTTTACACACTATGCTGTCATATGGCTAAAGAAGACTTGAGTTGGATTTTAATCATTTATTTTATCTTATGAATTTATGTAATGCTGCTATTTTCTGTTCAGGCGACACAGCATCTGCTGAGGATGAAGATGAAATGATCAACCCGTACTGTGAAACTGTTTTCCACAGCAGACGACAATATCAGCATTCAGAGGTAAGATACTTAAGTAAAAATTCTCTCTTAAACCATTTTTTTCTCCCTTTATGTACTCCAGTAGGTGGAATTTATTAATGTTTGAATGTGTTTAGGTTGAGAGGACCAAAAGTGAGGAAAAGACTGCAAATAAAGAAGATAAACAAAGAGAACATGGGTAAGTCCAAGTATTTCCATGAGAGTTCAAATTGACTGCAGAATGTTTGGTTTGCCCACAGCGTTATATCCAGCTGCTAATCACATAGTGACACCTAAAACAATAGGATAAAGAGAGTCAATGTTGTTTTCTTGGTTGAGCTCTAGTGTCTTCCAGCCTCTGTTGTCTAAACTTGTGAGTTCAGAGCGTCCAGTGCAAGGGTCTGGATCTGTGAGGCAAAGATGGATGTTTTTAATAAAACAAATTAGCTTTAATGTCTTAAAGGGATACTTCACACGAAAATGAAAATTCTGTCATCATTCACTCACCCTTATGCTGTCCCAGATGTATATGACTTTCTTTCCTCAGATGAACACAAATGAAAATGTATAGAAAAGCAATGTCAGTATGATTTTGACCGAATTCTCTTATGCTCACCTAGGCTGCATTTATTTAATCAAAAATACAGGATAAACGGCAATATTGTGAAATATTGTTCCAATTTAAAATAGCTGTTTTCCATTTGAATGTATCTTAAAATGTAATTTATTCCTGTGATGCAAAGCTGAATTTTCAGCAGCATTACTCCAGTGTTCAGTGTCACATGATCCTTCAGAAATCATTCTAATATGATAATTTGCTGCATAATATTATCAATAATGCAGTTGCGTTTCTTAATATTTTTGTGGAAACTGTGATGGAGTCTTTTATGAAAAGTCCAAAAGAACAGCATTTATTTAAAATATAAATCTTTTATAACAAGTTAAATGTTTTACTGTCACTTTTGATCAATGTAATGTGTCTTTGTTTAATAAAAGTATTAATTTCTTATTGACCCCAAACATTTGAATGCCAGTGTAGTTTTTTCACCCTCTCTCTGAACTGCTTGGACATAAATCCCATCTTTGTATGTGTGTGAGCAAAGGTTTACTGTCAAATGTAATTTTTATCAACCCCTGCCATATTGTCAACATTGAAGTGTTGTGTTAAACAGTGTGTTAAACAGGTGAACAACACTGAATAGATGCTGTTGATGTGCAAAGGCCCTGTCACACCAAACACGATACAAGAAATCTTAATGAATTGTTGATGAATGGAAGAGTGAAACCAATATTCATTGAGCTGAATGAAAAGCAAATTGCCAGAACAATAGATGGTGCTGATCGACAACCAAATGCATGTGTGTGTGTTGAACCTTTCAGCACAGCTGATCTGGGAAATGTTATGTTACACTATATAGTAATGTCAGGTTTACAATAAATGGTCTTTTTGGGCTGGGTAGCATGTTTTGTGCTCCCAAAGTTACAGTGCAGCATGTTTTCATGGCACAATCAACCGATTCATCATGATATATGACCCCTTTATTCACTTCAGCCTGCCTGAAGCCCTTCAGAATCTAAACAATTCCCACATTCCCTTGTGTTTCTGAAGTCACATATGCTTGTACACTATTATTCCTAACACAAATGGTCTCTTTCTCCCAGGATGCTTACCCCAAAGGTGTGATTCCCTTAGCTGCCATACAGATGGCCCGTGTAGCCAAAGACAATAAATTTGAGGTCGTCACAAGTCACAGGACATTTGGTCATTACTTCACATGTTGTGTCTCCTGCTGTTTGTTCCTGCCCTCTGCTTGACGTCTTTCAGTGTCTATAGATTAATTTCCTCCTTGAATAATTTCAGACAGCACTATATTGGATGTGACCTTTGTAGTGTAGTTGTTTCTCTCTGATGTCATCTTTGTTCCTCTGTTATAGAAACTATGTGTTCCAGAAACGATATGTGAAGTTTGATGGGAAGAACTTGATGTACTATGGTAGTGAAAAGGTATGATTGCATGTCAACAACTCAGTGCCATCCTAATGTTTTATGATTATCATACATCTATCACTCATTTCATATCATTTATTTATTTTTTGCACTTTACTTTTTGCACAGTCATAATGTACAATGCTGTTCAAAAGTTTGGGGTCAGTATGATTTTGACCGAATTCTCTTATGCTCACCTAGGCTGCATTTATTTAATCAAAAATACAGGATAAACGGCAATATTGTGAAATATTGTTCCAATTTAAAATAGCTGTTTTCCATTTGAATGTATCTTAAAATGTAATTTATTCCTGTGATGCAAAGCTGAATTTTCAGCAGCATTACTCCAGTGTTCAGTGTCACATGATCCTTCAGAAATCATTCTAATATGATAATTTGCTGCATAATATTATCAATAATGCAGTTGCGTTTCTTAATATTTTTGTGGAAACTGTGATGGAGTCTTTTATGAAAAGTCCAAAAGAACAGCATTTATTTAAAATATAAATCTTTTATAACAAGTTAAATGTTTTACTGTCACTTTTGATCAATGTAATGTGTCTTTGTTTAATAAAAGTATTAATTTCTTATTGACCCCAAACATTTGAATGCCAGTGTAGTTTTTTCACCCTCTCTCTGAACTGCTTGGACATAAATCCCATCTTTGTATGTGTGTGAGCAAAGGTTTACTGTCAAATGTAATTTTTATCAGCCCCTGCCATATTGTCAACATTGAATAGTGTGTTAAACAGGTGAACAACACTGAATAGATGCTGTTGACGTGCAAAGGCCCTGTCACACCAAACACGATACAAGAAATCTTAATGAATCGTTGATGAATGGAAGAGTGAAACCAATATTCATTGAGCTGAATGAAAAGCAAATTGCCAGAACAATAGATGGTGCTGATCGACAACCAAATGCATGTGTGTGTGTTGAACCTATCAGCACAGCTGATCTGGGAAATGTTATGTTACACTATATAGTAATGTCAGGTTTACAATAAATGGTCTTTTTGGGCTGGGTAGCATGTTTTGTGCTCCCAAAGTTACAGTGCAGCATGTTTTCATGGCACAATCAACCGATTCATCATGATATATGACCCCTTTACTCACTTCAGCCTGCCTGAAGCCCTTCAGAATCTAAACAATTCCCACATTCCCTTGTGTTTCTGAAGTCACATATGCTTGTACACTATTATTCCTAACACAAATGGTCTCTTTCTCCCAGGATGCTTATCCCAAAGGTGTGATTCCCTTAGCTGCCATACAGATGGCCCGTGTAGCCAAAGACAATAAATTTGAGGTCGTCACAAGTCACAGGACATTTGTCTTCCGAGCTGATAATGATGGTAAGCACAGCATTTTTATCCAAAGCGACTTTACGTTGCATTCAGGTTATAACTTCATGCATTCCCTTGGAATCCAAGCCCATGACCAAAAATCTCAATATGTTGGCAAATGATATAGTATTGACATAACCTGCCATCTAAAAACTTATATGTGATCCTGGACCACAAAAGCAGTCTTAAGTGTCAATTTTTCGAAATGGAGATTTATACATAATCTGAAAGCTGAACAAATAAGCTTTCCATTGATGTATGGTTTGTTAGGATAGGACAATATTTGGCCGAGATACAACTAAAATTTGGAATCTGAGGGTGCAAAAAAAAATCAAAATACTGTGAAAATCACCTTTAAAGTTGTCCGAATGAAGTTCTTAGCAATGCATATTACTAATCAAAAATGAAGTTTTGATATATTTACGGTAGGAAATTTACAAAATTTCTTCATGGAACATGATCTTGACTTAATATCCTAATGATTTTTGGCATAAAAGAAAAATCGTTAATTTTGACCCATACAATGTATTTTTGGCTATTGCTACAAATATACCCCAACGACTTAAGACTGGTCTTGTGGTCCAGGGTCACATATTATGGCACAATATTGCCAAAATATTGTTTAGAAAAGTGTTTTACTTCTTATTTAAAATTTTACTAGGTCAAAAGAAACCAATTGATCCTGCTTTATTTCTTTTCATAGTTCAGAGGTGCAAATGGTGCAGCACGCTGCAGGAGCGGGTCAAAGAACAGCTGGTTTTCGGCCGCCCACGTTTTGGCCCCGGCAGTCACTGCCAAAAGAGCGGCTTCCTGGAGCTCAAAACCAAGTCAAAGATCTACACAGCCATTATAATGGAGCAGATCTGGTTGTACAAGAGTGAACAGGTGATTAGTTAATCACGTTATAGCCATACTACTCTAGATTTAGTGCCAATGATTTGCTTTGCCTCTTTCATCTCTCAGTGTGATGCAATTTGAGTTTTTTTAACTTCCTGTCGATACTGAAGTATTTTGAACTTCCTATAACATATGTGCAATTTATTCAAAATTAGCCTTAAATCATTTGCATCATGGAGGTTTTACTAGTAATTCTTGGTTTAAGGCTGACCCTTTGTGATATGTGTTCTGCAGTGCTTTAAAAATGGAATTGGAATTACTGTAATTGAGGCCAGAGGTGCAACAATTCGTGATGGGAAGGGCAAGAGCTTTGATCTCATTACACCTTATAAAACCTTCAGGTAAACAGTTTAAGTCACGCTATGCTTCTGTTAAGTAGCTTGTACATGTCTACCCTTTTAAGTCATTTCCAAATCTCCAAATAGGAGGTTTAATCAGTGATTTGTCTTTTTGCTTGGAATCGGAACAAGAAAAATCAATTGGCCAATAAGGCATATTCTTTAAAAACAAGTCCTGTTATCATACACCATTTTAATTCAATAAATTGTTTTAAGGATATTTAGATGTTTTTACTGGAAAACAAGACCAATATGCTGATTGAAAAAAACATAAAATTAAAAATGTTTTATCTTTAGAAATATATAATACATAATAATATTTAATATATTTCTATATTTTTAAATAATATATTTCTATATTTTTAAATAATATTTTAATTATGCTAACTTTCAAAAGATTGGGGTCAGTAAGATTTTTTTGAAATACCTATTTAATTGATCGAAAATAGAGTAAAACAGTAATATTGTGAAATAATTTAAAAAATGACTGTTTTGTATTTTAATATTTAATTCATTCCTGTGATGGCTAAGCTAAATCTTCTGTAGCTGTTACTGATGCTAAAGAAACATTTCTTCTTATTATTATTATCAATTTTGAAAACTGATGTGCAGCTTAATATTTTTGTGGCAACGCTGATATTCACTAGTAAAAAAAAAACCTATGCTATAATTGATTTAAAATACATATTTTTCATACTAAGTATACTTCAAATCCATTAACATATTTATTGACATATCACTTAAAACTTGCTGATATAAAATTACAATAACTTTATTTATTTATTGCACAATGCATATTTCTTAATATTATGCCTAAAATGTGTTTTAATATCCTCTAAATAAAGATTGTATGATCGCTGTATAATATCAGTCTTTAAATACAAGATATTTAAAGTGTACCTGAAGTATACTTGCAATGGCTTCACTTTAACACAATCAAACATACTTAACTATATCTTTAGTTGGACCTCAGCACTACTTCCGCACAATTAAAGTGCATTAAGCACAAAATTAGTTGTTCCAATTTAGCAGAATTTAAGTTTACCAGTTTAGTATACTAAAAGTTCAGTTGCAGGGCATTTTTATTAAGCCCATAAATATGTAAATGTATTTGTAGTATACAAATATATGTTAGTGTATTTTTTTCACTAGGGCAATTTTATCAGCATTCTTTGATGAACAGAAAGTTCAAAAGAACAGCATTTATTCAAAATAGAAATCTTGTAACATTATAAATGTCTTTACAGTCACTTTTGATCAATTTAATGTGTCCTTGCTGAATAAAAGTATTTTATAAAAAATAAAAAAAAATCTTACAGACCCCAAACTTTTGAACGCGTATATATTTTGTAATACACATGTATACATAGACTTTATTGAAATAAAGAGAAAGTCTCTAGAGACTAGAGACAATTAATCGGATCCATGGCAGAGCGTTAAGATGGTTGTATGCATCCTTGCAGCTTTACAGCAGAGTCGGAGCGAGAGAAGAGGGACTGGATGGAGGCCCTGCAGGAATCTATAACGGAGACACTATCTGATTATGAGGTGGCGGAGAAGATCTGGTCCAACAGGTCCAACAAGATCTGCGCAGACTGCAAAGCCATCAATTCGGACTGGGCATCCATCAATCTCTGTGTGGTCATCTGCAAGAACTGTGCAGGTGTGTGGGGGTGACTTATCAGCTTGATGACTTTTATAATGTAAACTTGTGAATTCTGCTGATTTAAGCTATATATTCATCAAAACAGTTGGTGTGAGATGTTTTGCCTTTTCCAAACAGTGACTAGCTGGTATGGGGAAGGGCAGTGCGGTGTTAAGGTTGATACAGATGGTGCTAAGAGTTTCTAAGCTCATTTGAGAGTTTATGTGAGGTCCTCTGTGCCATATACTACAGATAAAAGTGGCTCAGAGGCACCGTATCAGGAAGTCTTTGTGGGACAAACAGAAGGAATGGTGCGTGGAGAATGATGTGGTGCCTCTTTTGTTCTGTCTGCCTGCAGGCCAGCATCGAGGTCTCGGCACAATGGTGTCGAAAGTGCAGAGTCTGAAACTAGACACCAGCGTGTGGAGCAATGAGATCGTTCAGGTAGAGGGTTGCCGTGGGTTCTGAGGGTTTTTTTTACAGGTCTTTTTATGAAAATTTATTTTTTATTCCAATTATCAGGATTCTCGATATCCCCAGTGATTTTACCACAAGGTTTTTTCTTATCGCTGTGTGTTCTAGCTCTTCATAATGCTTGGCAATGATAGAGCCAATGAATTTTGGGCAGCCAGACTTCCTGTGACTGAGGAGCTGGACTGTGACGCCTCCCCAGAGCAGCGGAGAGAGTTTATCACCCACAAATACAGAGAAGGCAGATATCGCCACCCTCATCCCAGTTTTAGCACCCAAGAGGAACTTCTTAAGGTAAAGGTTAAGCCATTCACACCTACTGAGGAGAGATCATGCAGACCAATGGTGACTTGTTTACCAGTCATTAAGATTAAGATTATTCATGAATTATTTAAGATTACTTACAATCTTAAAAGTACAGTCAGGAGTGTTGCACATGACACCTTTAACGTCAGATTTTATTTAAAATTTCACAGCGTTTATTTTTAAACCTCAAGGTTAAAAAACCCCCATGTCACGTATCCGGTCCATGAACTTCCGTCTGCTAGCCATCAGAGGTCACCCTTCCCATTTCATTGACTCTCGCACCACACACTGTTGCATATCCCCCCGGACTACATGTCCCATCATCCACTGCACTGATGACACACACACAGTTGATTGCACAGCACTGATTGCACACAGCTGTTATCACTCACACATCCCCTATTTAACTCTCACTCTGATCCCATTCCAGTGCAGAGTATTGTTTAGCGTTTATCACTCCCCTAGCGATAGCTACATTTCAGAGCCCGTTTAGTTTGTCTTTTCCTCACCGGAGTCTTGCCTTGTCTGTGTTCTGGTTCCTTGATCTTCGCCTGTGTCTCTCGGATTCCTCCTCTCGTCTTGCCCTATTTTGATTGTGTTTGCCCCTGCCTGGACCTTGCCTTGTACCTGGACTTATCCCTCTAGTCTCGCCCCTTTAATTCTGTTTGATGATCGTTCACCTCCGCTAGCCTTAGGTTTCTTCTTGTGTCTTGCCCGCCATATACCTGTCTGCCATTATCTGACCCATGCCTGTTTTATGACCACGTCTCTGTCTTCTCCTAAAAAATAGCTTGCATTTGGATCCGCACATCTCACGTCTCGTCAGCCCCGTAACACCCCAGAATATCAGGGAATTTTAAAATGGAGTTTTCTGGCCTGGAAAATGTATGGAAATTAGATAAAATTGTTTGGTCCACCAAGAATTTAATCTGCCCTTGGTGTAGTAAAATAATAATATGTAAAACACATTAAATAATCATTATATTAGTTAATAATAATAAAAATGTAGTTAAATTAAGGTTATATAAGTATATATGTTGTTAATAATAATAATATTAGTATTATTAATATTAATACTACTGCTACTATTGCTGTTGTTACTACTACTATTGTTATTTTGTTTTTAAATACACAAAATAAATAAGTTAATAATAATGTAAAAAATTTATAATATTAATATTAATTCTACTACTACTACTAATTTACTACATCAACAGTAATCATACTACTATTAGTATTTTTAGTTTTGAAATGCACCGTAAAATAAGTTAATAATAATAATTACTTTTATTATTGTAATTCTACTATTATTGTTTAGTTTTTAGATACACAATAAAATAGTAATAATAATAATAATTATTATTATTATCATTATTATAATTTTTTTTTTGGTAAATTTAAAACCTTTAAGTCATGGAAATATCTATGGTAAATATACATTATTCTTAGTAATGCTCAGTAATCATGAACCATGGAAAATCAAGGGAATTCATTGTTCAACGAAATGGAAACCTTATATTGCTGTTATCAATTAGCACTGACTGAAGCCTTTGTGTAAACCTTGTGCAGATATATATAGGCCTTTTGCATTTAACGATTAATATTTTACACGGTTGTCTTCAGAGCCACATAACTTCAACACTTTTGCACAACAAATGCATTTCCCTTTCCTCTTCTGCAACACACTTAATTTTTAAATACCCTGAATACTTCCTCAAATAAGAACCGCAGTGAACTAATGCAGCAGACATTTCTCCGTATAATAGCTTTGCTTCAAAAGAAAACTTTTAGATCAGTCACCACTGGGGCAGTGAGGACATCCTGTCTTAATATAGCTAGAGCCATCTAAGTATTATGCCAGCGGTCAAGCCAAGATTAGGATGTATTATTCTTTCTCAGGACTTTACCAAGGCTATCATTTATGTATCCAGGCTACCTATGAACCCCCGAATTAGCCGATGGCTGTGTTGTGAATAGTAAATAATGAAGAGCACTAATAAAAGGACTGCAAAGAATAGAAGGATTTTTAGAAGAAGCTTTGAATGTCCGCTGGCTAAATATGCTATTAGCGGTGCATTTGTTGAAGTGTGTATATGATTGTGTGTGTGTGTGGTCACCCTGCAGGCGCTGTGCACCGCTGTGACTGAGCAGAACCTGCTAAAAACGGTCACTCAGATTTTTGCGGAGGCTGAGGCCGCTCGACTCGCTGACGCTAATGGAAACGATAAGCGCGTGTCCCCGCATTACTCATACACACAGTCTGCAGGTACCGTTCCAGTACTTCACTACAGCCATGTTTCTTAAATGTGAAGTTTGCAATTTTATAGGCACCTAGTCAGAACTGGAAAAAGATCAACTAAATCACAGTTCTCTTAAAATTCTCCATCTTGAACATGGTGAGTAATGTTTTTTGAATGTATGTTTTGCTACATTCTTTGATTCTCTATACTGTAACATTAATAAAATTGCATACTTCACTTTTAGCATATGGAAATTGTAATATATGTCAAAGTGAAATACAATAGGTGGGAAGTATCTCACTGAAATTTTCTGCAGATTCAGATTCCTGTGTCTATGATGAGATCATGCAGCCCATCCTGTACTCCGGCTACCTCTACAAGTCAAGCTCCTTGAACAAAGGGACGTTATCCCGCAGAACCAGAGACGGTAGGCGACTATGTGCCATAAACAAGCAGACTGTACCTCTTCAGTAAAAACAAAGCTATTCAGTACCATCTAACTACTTCATATTCATCATCAATGTTGGGGGTAATGCATTACAAATAACACAAGTTACGTAATGCATTACTTTTAAATAAAATCAATAAATTAAATTAACAACTTACTTGTTTTCCCATTTATTCACTGACATTTCTCCTGTCCCCATGTTGAGAGAAATTAGGAGTGAGGTGCAGAGACACTTCTTTCAGTCTGAGGCTTATTTATTTCACTTTTGGTGTAAAAGGGCCTTTACGGTTGCCTAAAATTAAACTTAAAAATTAAAAACAAATATCCAAGCCCAGCCCAGGTGACAAAAAGTAATGCAAAAGTAACATAATACATTACATTACTTTCCTTAAAAAGTAACACAGTTACTTTCCCCAACACTGCTCATCTGATTGTGTAAGTATTAAATAAAATAGCATAAAAAAAAAAAAAATTAAAATTATTGCATCAAAAGTTTGGGCTCAGTAAGATTTTTTTCAACAAAATTAATATTTAATTAAACAAAGATGCATTCAGTTTTATCAAAGGTGACAGTAAAAACTTTTATAATGTTACGAAATATTTCTATTTCACATAAATGCTGTCTTTTAGACTTTATATTCATCAAATAATCCTGAAAAATGTATTATGGTTTCCACAAAAATATTAAGCAGCAAAACTGTTTTCAACATTGATAATAATAAATGTTTCTTAAGCAGCAAATCAGCGTATTAGAATGATTTCTGAAGGATCATGTGACGACTGGAGTAATGATGCTGAAAATTCAACTGCATCACAGGAATACATTTAAATACAAAGTAGTTATTTTAAATTGTAATAACATTTCACTATATTACTATTTTTACTGTATTTTTATCAAGTAAATGCAGCCTTGGTGCGCAGAGGAACACTTTTAAAACGAGTGTAAATCATGATGACCATCTGATTACTACTCACTTCAAAACATCAGTGGTCTTGGACTTTATATTTGACATCTGATATGAAACATACAGAAAAAATAATTGTTTTTTTTTTTATTACCTTTTTGATTTTATTTATTCAGCAGATTTTCAAAAGTACTGGTGTTCGGTGGAGAAGTCTATTCTCTTCTATGAGTCTGACAGATGTCATGAGCCCAGTCTGAAGATCGATGTTAAAGACATCATCTGTTTAGGAGTTAGCAGGCCAGACTCCAGCAACAACAGCGGCTTTATTGACAAGTGGGTGCCACTGCATAACACAACATCCTTCAAGACATAATCAGATTTAGAGATGTCACAGTATCTTAATCCTTACATTATAACAATATGATTCTTTGTTGTTCCTTTCAGATTTCGATACACTTTTGAACTTTACCTAACATCTGATAAACTGATCCAGTTTGGCTTGGAGACTTCAGATGCATTGCACAGTTGGGCGCGAGCAATAGGGAAGGTAAATATTAATCAGTCAAGCTCTGCTCTATGTAGCTTGTCACATCAGTGCATTAGATCTCACCTCGGTTTTGATCTCTGGCAGGCCACCACACCTCTCAGCTGTCACTGCCTGCTGGTGCGAGAGTTCGAGAGAGTGGGCGTACTGCGCTACAAGGCTATGCTAGACCCGCAGCAGTGGAAAGAAGGCTTCTTTGTTCTGCAGAAGTCCAACCTGTTCATATGCCCTGGAAATGATGGAGCCGCAGAGGATATTATAAACCTGAAACGCCTTCAGGAGCTCAGTGAGTCTGTTAGCTCAATCACTGTGAAACTGATATTTCAGTGAAAATAGTGCTGCTAAATTTACCCTCGGGATTAATAAATGAGCTATGTACTTATCAGTCTTTGTCTTGGGTTAAAAATCAAGGCATTGCATCCGAAACCGAGAACCATGAGAAGAAGGACATCCTGGTTCTTGTTGAGAAAGGAAGGTGGGTCTTTGACTTCTATAAATGCACGTTTAAGCCAAAATTAAAACTCTTTACTTTCTTAAAGGAATAGTTCGCCCAAAAATTTAAATGAGCTAAATATGTACTCAATCTCAGGCCATTCAAGATGTAGATGAGTTTGTTTCTTCATCAGAACAGACTTGGAGAAATGTAGCATTACATCAATTGCTCACCAATGGATCCTCTGCAGTGAATGGGTGCCGTCAGAATGAGAGTCCAAACAGCTGATAAAAACATCACAAGTAATCCATGCCACTCCAGTCCATCAGTTAACATCTTGTGAAGTGAAAAGCTGCATGTTTGTATGAAACAAATCCATCATTAAGATGTTTTTAACTACAAACCGCTGTTTCGCTAAAATATGAGTCCTCTATCCATGGTAATTTTTTCTACACTGAAAAAGTTGTGTGCTCTGAATCAGGTGAGAAATATGCACAGATGAAACACCATTTATAAGTGAAAACGGTCTAAAACAATTCTAAACAAATATGGCAGTGTGTTTTGATGCGAGAGGACAACAGGGGATGGACTTTTTCACTGGAATGAAGCATTATTATGGACTCATATTTTGTAACAGTTTAAAGTTAAAACACCTTAATAATGGATTTGCTTCTTACAAACAGGCAGCTTTTCACTACTCAAGACATTAACTGATAGACTGGAGTGGTGTGGATTATTGTGATGTTTTTATGACCTGTTTGGACTCATTCTGACGGCACCCATTCACTGCAGAGGATCCATTGGTGAGCAAGTGATGGAATGCTACATTTCTCAGAAGAAGAAACTATGTCTTGGCCTGAGGGTGAATACATTTTCAGCAAATATTCATTTTTGGGTGAACTATTCCTTTAATACATCTCCCAGTCCTTATTGCAAACGATTGCATCTGTTAATCCAGTCCCATTAATCTTTCATCAAAATATAATGACTCTGTCTGCAGGACTCTGCATCTGCAGGGCATGGGCAGGACCGATTTCTCCCTGTGGTACACAGACATTCAGAAGGCAGCAGGAGGGAAAGGGAACACCCTGAAAGACCAGCAGCTCAGCAGAAATGACATCCCCATCATCGTTGACAGCTGCATTGCCTTTATAACTCAGTATGGTGAGAACACAGACTTCTCAAATCCCTGTGCTTTGTACTGAAGACAGTCCGCCCTGCCTAAATCTATAACATTACCACTGCAGTCCGAATGATTGAATCTCTCTTACGCAGGTCTGGGCCATGAGGGGATATACAGGAAAAATGGTGCGAAGTCCAGAATCAAGCTTTTGATGGAGGAGTTTCGTAAGGACGCCCGCAATGTGAAACTCCGCATTGGAGATAACTTCATAGAGGACGTGACCGATGTACTGAAAAGGTTCTTTCGGGAGATTGATGATCCCATATTCATGGCTGATCTCCACCCCTTCTGGAGGGAAGCTGCCAGTTAGTACAGTACACTTTCTTTGAATGTTTATATGCAGTTTAATGAAATATTGTGGGTTATTTCATGCATAATGTCTATTAGATGCATTTGTGGCATGCTTACGGCTGCATTTATTTCAAAAATACAGTAAAAACAGTAATACTGTGAGATATTATAAGAATTTAAAATAACTGTTTTCTGTATGAATATATTTTAAAATGTAATTTATTCCTGTGATCAAAGCTGAACTTTCAGCATCATCACTACTCTAGTCTTCAGTGTCACATGATCCTTCAGAAACCATTCTAATATGCTGATTAGCTGTTCAAGAAACATTTATTATTATTATTATTATCGTCATTAATATTTAAAACAGTTTTTTTTCAGGATTCTTTGATAAATAGAAAGATCCAAAGATCAGCATTTATCTGAAATAAAAATCTTTTGTTACATTATACACTATTCTATTCAAAAAAAAAAATTCTGGGAAAGAAATTATGCAGTTTAATGAAATATTGTGGGTTATTTCATGCATAATGTCTATTAGATGCATTTGTGGCATGCTTACGGCTGCATTTATTTCAAAAATACAGTCAAAACAGTAATACTGTGAGATATTATAAGAATTTAAAATAACTGTTTTCTGTATGAATATATTTTAAAATGTAATTTATTCCTGTGATGGTAAAGCTACATTTTCATCATCACTACTCTAGTCTTCAGTGTCACATGATCCTTCAGAAACCATTCTAATATGCTGATTAGCTGTTCAAGAAACTATTATTATTATTATTATCGTCATTAATATTTAAAACAGTTTTTTTTCAGGATTCTTTGATGAATAGAAAGATCCAAAGATCAGCATTTATCTGAAATAAAAATCTTTTGTTACATTATACACTATTCTATTCAAAAAAAAAAATTCTGGGAAAGAAATTATAGAAATTAATATTTTAATTTAGCCAGGATGCTTTAAAAATTGATGATAAAGACGTTTATAATGTTACAAAAGATTTATCTTTCAGATAAATGCTGTTCTTCTGAACTTTCTATTCATCAAAGGAACCTAAAAAAAATCTACTCAGCTGTTTTCAACATAATAATAATCTTAAATATTTTTGAGCAGCAAATCAGCATATTCAAATGATTTCTGAAGGATCATGTGAGACTGAAGACTGGAGTAATGATGCTGAAAATTCAGCTTTGATCACCGGAATAAATTTAATTTTCAAATATATTCAAATCGAAAACAGTTATTTTAAATAGTAAAAATATTTCACAATATTACTGTTTTGCTGTATTTGGGATCAAATAAATGCAGGCTTGGTGAGCAGAAGAGAATTCTTTAAAAACATTACAAATCTTACTGTTCAAAAACTTTTGACTGGTAGTGCATTACAAAAACTGGATTTTGCATCCATAAACATGAAGTTGAAAACAACCCAGAATATTTGTATGACTGACAACAAACATACTGGATTTTGGCTAGTTTGAGTTGTCTCATTGATTTCTCATACTATATGCAGAGATACCTCAAAAGCCACAGCGTTTGGACCGATACAAAGAGCTGATTCGAGGGTTACCTCGGGTCAACAGAACGACTTTAGCAGCTCTCATCAGTCATCTCTACAGGTGAGTCTTCATTCGGATTCGGATTGAGCCAAGTCTGGTCTTTGTTCATTTATAGCAGCTCTCTCATGGCTTTGTCTTCCTCTCTCTTAGGGTGCAGAAGTGTGCTGATCTCAATCAGATGTGCACTAAGAACCTGTCCCTGCTGTTCGCTCCCAGCCTGTTTCAGACTGATGGTAAAGGGGAACATGAGGTCAAAATCATAGAAGACCTCATCGATAACTTCCTGTATATATTTGATGTAAGTGAATAACTTCGTAACATGATATTAGAGCAAAAACGGTGCTGAGGTGGCACCGTGGTGAAGTTATAATATCAGGTGATGATACGATAGTACAGTACTTGGAGATACCATGTACTATGCAACTTATTTCATTCTGAATACCATGCAAATCATTGAATACTATGATACTACAATGGTACAAAAAACATGGAAGTACCATTGTATAGTTTTTCGTGGAATGCAGTTTTATGTAAATGTGAATCATTTTGATGCTTTTGAAACATTTTTGTGTTTGGTCAGATTGATGAAGAACATCAAACTCAGATTGAACTGGAAATCAGTTTGATAACCACTTGGAGAGACACACAGGTAGATTAATTAATTAATAGTATTATATTTTAAATTATATTTTAATATTCTTTTTGTGTTTATTGCAGCTCTCACAGGCAGGGGACTTGATTATTGAAGTTTATCTAGAAGAAAAGATACCAGACTGCTGCATCACTCTGAAAGTAAGTAGATCATATTTAAAAATAATAATAATGAGATATATATGATGTCAACAATATTGTTGTCCGTTGTCCTGGAAGGGGAAAGCAATATATTTTAAGTGTGTATATCTGCTTAATGTTTTTGTCAACCTTTAGTACACAAGCATTTAGATGGCCTCAAAGCTAACATACATTAAATAATATTGTGAAAAAAAAAAACACAACTCAAAACTGTATTTCACGTTTTTATGTTTGACGGAGAGCTGCTGTTGCACAGCATTACCACACAGTGGCAGATTCAAACCATTAATGCAAACTTCTGGTGTGGCTTTCTCACAGGTGTCTCCCACAATGTGTGCTGAGGAGCTGACCAATCAGGTGCTGTATATGAGAAATATTCCTGCAGGGGAAAAAGACGTGTGGATGACCTTTGAGGCCATCGAGGAAGGAGAGCTTGGTAAAGACAAAACGCAAACGAATTAATTCAAACACAATTTCACTTCAGTTACTACTGAAGTTAATCAGACACTGCAGGGCAAACAATGTTTTTTAATGCCGGGAGAAACAATAGATAAATGCAGCATGTAATTTCCACAGAGCGACCTCTTCACCCTAAAGAGAAGGTTCTGGAACAAGCGCTACAGTGGTGTAAAATGGCCAATCCCAGCTCAGCATATCTGGTGGTGAAGAAGGTGCCTAGAGGAGAAGCTATAGACATTTTCACAGGTGAAAGCATATTCATTTCATCAGATTTAGAGAATATAATGATGTGTTGAATATTGTAAAGCATTTGAACCCATTTTTCACTTCAGTGGTACTGCGTTGTCACAAAAACATTTTTATAAGTACAAATATTCCATATACTGTAGTCTCTCCACTAGGCTTGCAGTGATAGACGGTGCTGACGGTGATACCGGTGTTAAGCTGCAACGCCGGTTACGTCACATGCCCACCGCGGCACCGACCCCCACCGTCGTTTTGTTTTTTTATAGTAATAAAAATAATTTAGTTCAGTAAAAGAACAGACACTACAATTAAAAACTGAACACGGCTGTTCAATGCAGCGTGCCGAACGACAGTCGCATCACAAATCAGATTTCATTTCTCCAGTGAGGAGAGCGAGTCGAGCTGACTCACGAGAAGAGTGAGGCGAGACAGACAAGACGATGGCGGATGATTTAGTTTCGAACGAATCGCAAAAACACCTGTTTGGCAATATTTTGGATTTTGTAAAGCCTGTTGATTTTGCCGTTTATCTAAGGTGATTTTGGAAGTTTTTTTTAAACATTAGTTTCTTATTTAATCGGTTCCACGTTGTTTGCTTATTTTTGCTTTATTTAAACTTTGTGTCATTTATTTATTTTATTTGACATCAAGGTGTATGCCGTGCCTCCAAGCTTTCTTATTCGTTTTGCTAATAAACGTTCTACGTTTCTTATTTATTTGGTTATATATTGTACATGTTTACTTATTTCCAGTTTTGTATACCTATTTAAACTTTATGTAAGTTATTTTATATTAGGCATAGCCTGCCCTATAGCATGGTGTATTTTTATTCGTTTTGTTAATAAAAGTTCTATGTTTTATATATAGGCTAAAGTGAGTTTGACGTTGTATTTTGTTGTTGCATTCAAGCAATTGACGCCGAACTGCCGCTAATTCGAAAGTGAAAGTCAAATGCGCACGCCGCTTTTACAAGTTATTTAAAAGCGAAGGAAAGCGAGGAAAAGAGGGAATATTCAAACGTACTAAAAACGAACAATTGCTTTACGCTGAATTGCCGCTATTTGAAAGTGAAAGTAAAATGCACACGCCGCTTTTACAAACTATTTAAAAGTGAAGGAAAGCCAGGAAAAGAGGGAACGCCCCCGCCCCCACGGTGATACCGGTATTACCGGTGTTGTCACGCATCGATTAACCGGTGGGAAAATGTACTCACTGTCACAACCCTACTCTCCACTAACCTGAGGTGATAAAATGCATAAAATTACAGTACTGTTCAAAAGTTAGATTTTTGTGTTTGTTTTTTAAAGAAGGATGTTTTATGCTCAACTCCAAAAATACAGTAATATTGCGAAATATTATTAAAATTGTAAACAAATGTTTTCTATTTGAATGTATTTTAAAATGTAATTTATTCCTGTGATCAAAGCTGAATTTTCAGCATCGTTAATCCAGTCTTCCTCCAGAAATCATTCTAATACACTGATTTGCTGCTCAAGAAACATTTGATTATCAATGTTGAAAACAAGATTTTTTCCCCTCAGGATTATTTGATGAATAATTCAAAAGAATAGCATTTATTTGAAATAGACATTTTTTGTCTTTACCATCACCTTCTGTTAATTTGTAAAAAAAAAAAAAAAAAAACTCCAAATTTGTGAACAGTAGAGTAATACAAGAATGAGAAAAAAAAAGATAATAATACGGTGTCACATTGATTTATTACTATACAACTCTAAGACCATTTTTGTCACACGAAAAACACAAACTGTATACTTTGTTACAAAATTGTACAAAATGATACAGCTGTAGTTGTTGCTTGTTGACCTTGTGTCTGTTGTATCTGTGTGTTGTGCGCTGCAGCCTATAAGAGTGAGATAGTGAAGTCTGGAGTGCTGAAGTGTCGGGAAGAGCCGCCCAAGCTCTTGCAAGGAAACAAATTCCAGGAGCGATCTTTCCAAATTAAAGACCACAGATTACTCCTGATGAAGGACAAAAAAGTATGTATACTGTTTATCATCACCTTCTACATTACAGCACGTTAGAGGATTCTGTGTAAATAAGACGACACTGAACTGAAAGGAAAAACTAAAAGCAGCTTTTCTGCATCACAGAGCAACAAACCTGAGAAAGAGTGGCAACTGAAAACCTTGAAGATTTACATGGGGATCAGAAAGAAGTTAAAGCCACCAACAAAGTGAGATGCACGTTCCACAGTAAGCTTCTTTACATCAGTGAACTTGATATAACTTTAAATAATAAGTGTGTTTACTTGCAGATGGGGATTAACAGTGATGCTGGATAAACAGCAATTGTAAGTGGTATTTATATGTGTTATATTTATATGTGTACGTGGAATAGAACAGGAATTAAGAGACTTCATAAGAGACTTTTCAAAAACAAAATCTTGCAGCCCCAATATATTTATTTATTACCCCTTTATATGTATGTATATATATATATATATATATATATATACATGTCAGTTTCTTATAACATGTTATATGTGAGTGTTATTATGCATTACACTCTTTAAAGGTACCTTGAAAAAGTAAATAATTATGCAACAGTAATGCGTATTATAGGACATGAGTATGAATACATTTAAAAGCATTTTACATTTCTTTACAATGCTTTATACAAGCTTTATAGAAAGTGTCTATTTATAGCTATATAGTGAACAGTAATCACTCTCCTTGACTGCACAGGTACCTCAGCTGTTCCTGTGAGACTGAACTATGGGACTGGATGACTAATTTACTAAAAGCACAGGTAAAGCACGTTTTAAATTGAACAAATTTATTGACATTTCAGAGCTGTAGCTTAACATTAACGTCCCTCCCTCAGAATGATGATTTGCGTCCACCTGTGATGAGACGGCACTCTTCCTCTGACATTTCCAAGCAGAAGTTTGGCACCATGCCGCTTGTGCCCATCAGAGGAGAGGAGAGCAATACCAACTCCACCATGCTCTCCGCCAATCAGACTCTGGTACAACACTATGGCGTCCTCTAGTGGTTCAGTGCATGTAATGCTCACTTGGTCTTTGCTTTGAGACTTAACTTGTTGTCTGTGTATTTTTGCAGAGAAAGCTCCACACAAGAAGGGCTCTTTCAATGTTCTTTGTAAGTATTTCTTTTTAGCTGCAGATTAATCCAATGCATTTTATATAAGAATTACTTTAAAACAGTGGTTCTCAAGCTTTTTTACTCCAAGGCCCCCCTCCTCTCCGAGTCAATACTTCAAGCCCCCTTCCCCCCATCAGAACAGATTTGGAGAAATGTAGCATTACATCACTTGCTCACCAGTGGATCCTCTGCAGTGAATGGGTGCCGGCAGAATGAGAGTCCAAACAGCTGATAAAAACATCACAGTAATCCACACCACTCCAGTAAATCAATTAACATATTTTGAAGGGAAAAGCTGCGTGTTTGTAATAACATTTTTAACTTCATATCATTACTAGTCTTATATCCGTAATATTGCGTTCTCCAAAGAAAACGTTGTCTTGTCTGAATCAGGTTGGAAATATGCACAGATCAAGCACCATTTATTAATGTAAGCATGCCAAAACAGATCTATACAAATATTTGGGGTGGGTTTTGATGTGAGAGGACAACAGGGGATGAACTTTTTCACTGGATGAAGCGTTATTATGGATTATGGACTGGTATTTTGGACAGAAGTGATGGTTTAAAGGGGTCATATGATGCTTTTTTAAAGATCATTATTTTGTGTATTTGGTGTAACAGAATATGTTGACATGCTTTAATGTTCAAAAAACACATTCTTTTTCAAAAACTGTACATTATTGTAGGTCCTCTATGCCCCGTCTCTCTCAAACGCTTGGTTTTCTACAAAGTCCCTCCTTCCGACAAGAGCAGTCTGCTCTGATTGGCCAGCTGACCCAGTGCATTGTGATTGGCCGAACACCGCAAGCACTCGTTGGAAATGTAACACCCTTTACCATAATCGCGAGCTTCATCTTTCAAAATAAATGTAAAGACAGAGCCCGAAAGGGGAACAGAGTCGCGTGACAGACACAGTGATGAAGCTGGTATGTGTTTGCAGTACACAAGCCACGGTTAAGACAGCTGACTCCACTGTGATGTGTCTCGCTCTCTCTCTCTCGCTCGCTCGCTCTCTCTCTCTCTCGCTCGCACACGCACACACACACACACACACACACACACCGCTCTCTCTCTCTCTCGCTCGCACACGCACACACACACACACACACACACACACCGCTCTCTCTCTCTCTCTCTCGCGCGCGCGTGCACGCATACACACACACACACACCGCTCTCTCTCTCTCTCTCTCGCGCGCGCGCGCACGCATACACACACACACACACCGCTCTCTCTCTCTCTCTCTCGCGCGCGCGCGCACGCATACACACACACACACACACACAGACGATGCGCAAAACTCCACATTTGAACAGTCAATAGCAAATACTTAAACTAATAACAAAACAGTAGCTGATTCAGAAGTGCCAGATTGTCATAGCAAAGTCAGAATTACCTCCTCTCCTAGGTTCACGAAACGGTCGTCCATAAAATGCATTGCTGTTCTGTTGTAAACAGAAGTCCACATAGTGAGGTAGATATGTGGGGGCGTGTTAGAACGAGCTGTTTTAGGGGGGCGTGGCAGAGTATTAACTTTGATAAAGAATATCTCTTTGGTTTTGAGACTTTAGTCTTTGCAGCTTCAGGAATCTTATCTACGCACAATCAGCTTGTAACACTCCAAAGAGAAAGAAAAACTTGAAATCGCATCATATGACCCCTTTAATGTTAAAAAAAATTATTTATGGATTTGTTTATTAGAAGACATTAACTGATGGACTGGAGTGGTGTGGATTACTTGTGAATTATTGTGATGTTTTTATCAGCTGTTTGGACTCTCATTCTGACGGCACCCATTCACTGCAGAGGATCCGTCGGTGAGCAAGTGATGTAATGCTACATTTCTCCAAATCTGTTCTGATGAAGAAACAAACTCATCTACATCTTGGATGGCCTGAGGCTGAGTACATTTTCAACAAATTTTCATTTTTGGGTGAGCTATTACCCAACTTAATGTTCAGTTTCACACCTTTGCATACAAGTTTTGTTGCCATTTCTTCAACACAACCAGTCACAATTACAGTGGCTGGTCAAAATGTAAAAGTAGGAGGTTTGGAAAGTATCAGATGACCTCTGGGTCTAACAAACGCTCAAAAATGTAAGGGTGTGCTTTACAAAAGAGCCTATACTTAATTGAGGAATTCCCTTTGACTTCCTCGGTCCCCCCCCCCCATTCCTGTTGGGAACCAGGGTTTCCTGATATGACAGGATGCATTTGGAGGAAGAAGGCTTCTACTGCATTGTTCTGCAACTGTAGCCTTGAGGGAGGGCAGGGAGCTGGCTTCACCTCTTGTGTTTTGGGAAAAAGCCACAGCTTCTGGTGTGTCCCGGCCCAAAAACTTTCGCAAGCAAATTGTCTGTGGGCTTCATGCTTTTGTCCTCGATGTATTCACCAACTCTCTTGATGTTGTCGCTCTGATACTGAGACAAAAGTTTCTACTCAGAAAAGGAAGTAATTTGTTTTGAACATTGTTGAGGAGCGAATCCATTCCGCTAACCACAAATACTTCTTTTGTTAGCATAATGGTAGATCATCTAATCAGATATCTAGTAGATTAGGTATTTCCATGAGATGATAGTCACTAGTTTGTTCGAAACCTAACACCCGTATGGATGAGATGTAGTTTTTATGATCTTAGTTCAGGAGACTGATTTGCTTTGGATACGCAAGGATACAAGCTCATAAGCTTACTTGCATTTTATAAACACATAGCATTATAGGTTGCTCTGATTGGTTGAGCTATACATTCAACGCTGTTGTGAAATAGCAGATTTATTTATTTAACACAATATTTATAACATTTATTGTTATTATTTTTTTTTTATGTAATTTAAAATGAAATGAAATAGCATTATTATTCACTATTTTATTATAGCACATTTTTTATAGTGCCATACAACAACAACAACAATAATAATAAACACATAACATAGTATTAGTAGTATATACAATTATTATTATTATTATATGGTTCTCATAATACTATATTCACTATAATTATGTCTCATTTATAGTTAATAATGAATTAAGATAATTAAAACAAAATTAATTAATTATTTAATAATAATAAAGAAAATATAGTTATGGTATTATCTAAAATGATTGTTGTTGCTGCTTATTCACTATATAGTTATTAATACATAAGTGTCATACAACAACAACAACAACAAAATAATAATAATAATCATAATCATAATAATAAAAGTGTGTGTAATATTATAAGATTCATATAAACATATATTCACTATATTATTCTTGTTATATATAGTTGCATAAAAATGTAATGTCATAAAACAACAACAACAACAACAACAATAATAATAATTATTACTGTATACTACAACTATTATTACTATTCTTCTTATTATTAACATTATAACACAATATAGTTATCATATAATAATAATAAAAAAATAGCAATATAACCATAACTATGAATATTTATTAATAATAACAGTAATTATACATTAACAATAACTATTCATATTTATTATTATTATTATTATCAAGGTTCAAATTACATTATTTGTGATAAAAGGTTAATATGATTATTATCACTATAGACTTATTTATTGAATATTAGGTTATCTTATAATATTAATGTTGTTTTAATTTAAATTCAGACTTTTTGTTTTTTTCAAAACTATTTCATAACTGTGGTGAAGTGACTGTAATGGATGGCCTGTCATGTGTTATTGGTTTAAAGACTTTAAAGCCAGTGTAATTAAGTGTTGTAATCTGAAATCCACAACAGATATCTTTTTGACCTCCTGGTATGCTTTGCAATTGTCTTTTTTGTTTTCCTTCTCAGCCCATGAAGGTGCAGCAGGACTCGTTTGAGGAGCGCATTGAAAGCCCCGAGCCTTTGTATGAGGAGGTGGGCGACTTCGGTCTGCAGGTGCTCAAATCTTTGGAAACTAGTTTCCTGTCCAGCGCTCACGCAGAGACACAGGAGGTGCCAGCACGGCCCGTCAGCCTCGGACAGAGGAAGGCCGCCTCCCTGGATCGCATGGTTGGGTTAAACCCAGTGCACTCTCTCTTATCCTCTAGAGAATCAATAGACACTCTGGGCCAGGAGGACTCCCTGCACGTCCCAGGTAGACACAGGTCCCACAGATCATGCAGCCCCCAACAGGAACTGCTGTTACAGGAACTCTCCACGATGTTCTACAAGAAACCAGAGTCTGAAGAGCAGCATGAGAACCTCACCTGAGCTTAGAGACTAGATCAATCTCAAGAGCAATTTGCTTTGGAACTTGAAATCGCTGTTATTAAATTGCCACGTGTGTCTGTTTGAAATTGGCTTGTAAGAATCCAGTATTAAATCCATCGGTTTATTAACGTGAAGTATCATGCCAAAGCAGTCACTGAAATGAAAATCTGTGAATCTGTGCTAGAATTGTTTTGTATAAATTGGGTAAATCTGTTTTGGCTTGTGCATTTGTTGACTTGCTACACTAAAACTAATCGACCTCTCAACATTTTAAAAAAATTCCCTTTTTTTTATCGTTGTTATATGTTATTGTTGTATTATTTGTACCTAAAGATGAAATTACATTTCAGTTCCTTTTCGTAAAAATAAATTTCTTGGCTCAGTAACATTACATGTTTAGTATAACAGTAAGAAATGCATGGAAAGCAACGCATGTGCGGTCTGTAATACATAATCGGTGGTCTTATTTGCAGTGAAAACATTTACATTGATATTCCTGGACTGCAGACTGATTAAATGACTACTGTATGGGTGCATTTCACTCCATCTTTTATATGTATACAGTGTATTATATTTATTAATTTATTTATATAGACTGTTTGAATCATTCTCATATTTCTCAGTGTTTGGTGACAGAGTGAAGGAGCATTATCAGAAGGATAAAAGCAGTTTCGACTGTAACAGTAGAGGGCAGTATAGATACAGCACATGATGTCCTGACAATCTAAAGCGTTTCACTGCAGATTTTCACTCCTCTTTACAGGCTTTTAATAAAGGCATCTATAAAGTTCATAAAATAAATCTGTTCTAATCCCTGATTTTTTATTCTTTGGTTCTTTGTGTTTTAATAACCATTTTTATGCATTGAATAAAGTATAATTTGTTTTTATATAAATAGATCATCCAGATATGAAACATTACAACTGTACTGAATTCACTACTGCTTCTGTATATAACTGTCTATTTTATTTAATGCTAAAATGGATTTTGGTAGTGTTATGGCATGTTTTCCATCACTATCAGATACTTTTATATGCAACACATACTTTTATAAGTGATAGCATAAAAAGTCTTGCATTTTGATGAATTTCACTCATGTGCGCTTAAGTGTTTTTAATTTTTTTTGTGTTTTTAGCTAATTGAGATTTTCACCTGTTTATACAGAATTCCTGTGTGTAAAAATGAATGCAGAGGCATCAATATCAAGATTGTTGTAGTATCATAATATATTTAGGGTAAAATTACATTAATAGGTTTTGGGTGTTGACTTGAGTCTTCGGGTGTAGTTCAGAATGTGGTTTGAGTAAAACAGGATTATGTTTGGTTATGAGTCTGGCTGAGGATCAGTCAATCAAAAGTGTCTTCTGGGGAGATTTGACTTTAAGAGTAATCTTATTATCCATGCTTTCAATTGGACACCTCTGAAGTAACCTTGTCATGGAGATGCCTCTCATTTCCTTTAAGGTAATCTCTCTCTTTATGTCCAAATCAGTCAAATATCGGTCTTATTTGTAGCAATTGTTTGTTCCCTTTAGGTAAATGAAAAAAAAAGGTATTATTGTCGTCATGATGTCTGATGATATGGATTCGATTATGTATTTAGTAAGTGGTTGAGACTTATGAAAAAGGTTTTGAAGGCCATTTTCCTGCATAACTAAAAGCTGAAGCTGGGTTTTCATGAAGTTGTGAGACACTGAACTCTTCTATGAGAATACTAACAATTAAATGTTACCAATTTCATGGAAAATACAATCTTTGTGGTATTTGAATGTTCCTCTATACATCAAATGCTTGAGATTTGTCAATATCAGGCACTTTCCATGACCTCTGATTTTTTTTGTTTAGCATTAGGTTTTGAAGGCCATTTTCCTGCATAACTAAAAGCTGAAGCTGGGTTTTCATGAAGTTGTGAGACACTGAACTCTTCTATGAGAATACTAACAATTAAATGTTACCAATTTCATGGAAAATACAATCTTTGTGGTATTTGAATGTTCCTCTATAAATCAAATGCTTGAGATTTGTCAATATCAGGCACTTTCCATGACCTCTGATTTTTTTTTTTAGCATTTGAAGCAGAAATCCCATGTATTTGTTACAAGAATTATTAGGTATGTTTTACTAAATTATTGCAGTAATTCATTTTGGTAACATTTTATTTTAAGGACCAATTCTCATTGTTAACTAGCATGCATATTATAGCATATTGCCTGTTTGTTAGTACTTGCCGAATAAAGCACACATTAAAGGGGTCATCGGATGCTACATGCACTTGTACAAGTTGTTTTAACTGAAATGTGTGTTGGCAGTGTGTGTACACAACCACCCTATAATGATAAAAATCCACCCAGTGTTTTTTTTTTTAATCTACTAAATTCTTTACCCCTTTCTCAAATCGAGCCGATCTCAGATGCCATAACGCCACCCAAATGTTCACGCAAAGAAAGAAGGCGTCACTTTGATTCTCGCTGTAGTATTGCTGCCGCCGCCATGTTGTGAAGACGCTGTGTGTTTCGTTGCGAAAGCGAAAATACTTTGTTTGGCCTTCCAAAAGAGGACACGACTAGAAATCAGTGGTTAAGTTGTATTTACAACACTGTTCCAGAACAGTTCAACCCAAATTTTCAGATGTGTGCAGCACATTTTATGGAGGACTGTTTCCTGATGCTGGTAGAGTAGCCTACAATGCTCACAGACTGTAAGTAAGTTTTTTATATATAAAGAATTTGCCAATGACGATTCAAACGCGAGTTTTGAGCAGTGTAGAGTAGCGCTTGTTGTTTGTAATTTCTCCGATCACAAATGCAGACATGGTTTTATGTTTACGCGGCGCGATGCAACACGTAAAAAGACAGTATAAGTCATTATAATCCGTAATTATGTCCCCACTGGATGCAACAAATGTCTCGTTTATAATGGGTTTTAATGTTTTTGTCGCTTGAGGTATTCGGCCAATCACAACGCACTGGATAGCTGGCCAATCACAGCACACCTCGCTTTTCAGACCGATGAGCTTTGTAAAAATGTATGCGTTTCAGAAAGGCGGGGCATAGAGGAGAAACAATAATGTACAGTATGTGGAAAATAATTTTTTGAACCTTAAACCGCATAAACACATTTCATTACACCAAATACACAAAATAATATTCTTTTTAGCAACATCATATGACCCCTTTAACCAAACTATGTTACAGACTTTTCATTAAGACCCTTAAGAATCATATCAACTTGTGGAAAATGGGCATCCGATGACCCCTTTAATGCATCATTCTGCATGACCATATTGTAGATCCCTTAAAGGCGGCATGAAATCAAAATGGAAAATTCTTATTTTTTAATGGAATACTGTAGTGTTTATTATAAATAATTTATCCGTGCACTTCATTATTTAAAAAAAATTAATGTGCCCTCGTAATCTTTGATCAAAAACGTTAACCTCCCCTCCCCCTCAAAACAACTCATCTTCTCTTCCGGTCACGAGCTATGGCGCAAAGGCGGAGCTAGTGATGTGAGGGGTAAACGCTGGGCTAAACGGGGGAAAAGCTGTAGATGCTTCACTTTATAGAAATCAATGCATTGGCCAGTGCTGACGTGAGCCATGGGGGAGTACACTACCCTTAAAAATTGAAAGGATATTAGGATATTACCACAACATTACTCTTAGGACATCGCAAACTATTTTTTTTTAAGAATATGACTTAACCTTATGGAGGACGGGCTCAGTCATTCAGGCAGTCTCTCTCTCGCGCGCGCGTACGCGCTGTTAGGCATGTTTTGCCATTGATCGTCCTCGTCGTCGTCATCCTCAATAAATAAAACATTTTTTCATGCTGGGGTGTCGGCGATGAATCCAGTGGAAAGAAATCCCTTCACAACTAACTGCAAACTAGCATTCAGATTTGCCTCCATTTTGTTAGCAATGCCCCAACTTCCAACGATCCAATCAATTCGCGAGGGATGAAATCAAGTCCCGCCCTCTCATTTCAGATGCCGTTTCACTCGGATAGATGTCACAGTAGAGAAAAAATGACAATGGACCCTTTTCACATTTCTGGGTTTCTCAGCAGCAGAAGTCGTCATAGTTGGGTTAACTTGAAGAGCAGTGAATGGGAGAGTACCACAAATATATTTTTTGCATTCCCATTTGCCCAAATAGCAAAAGAAAAACTCCACGACAGTGTTTTCGTGACTTCCAATAAAAGGAAAAAAATTGAGAGAGACTGATAACGGCAGTCAGAAGAGAGAACGATGTCAAATTTACCATCCCTCCCATAGACTCTGCATTAGAAACACCCTCACATTAGCGTTATTTTGTAATTTGCTAAATGTACATACATTTAAAAAAATATACAAATATGAAAAACTTTTGAGGATTTACGATGCTGATGACCGTTAAAAACGCGTCATCACAGTCTTGTGAAAAGGGTCCATCGCTACTTCCGTTTCATGCCGACTTTAATCCTGAATTTAACAACTACCCTACTAGCATAAATAAGCAGCAAATTAGATATTGAGTCAAAAGTCATAGTTAATAGTGAGAATTGGACCTTAAAATAAAGTGTGACCCTTATTTTATCAATAACTACAGACCAACATTTGGTCCCAAACTAGCTAACCACTATTGAGTGAGCTTAATTTATGCTACATTTGCAATCCTGTTAACCATTATTTTATTTTATTAATCTGTACAAATATTTATTTTTTGTATGTCTATATTGATGTATATTTTACTGTTATTGTTATAAAGTAACAAAATCACACAAATCAGGGTTCTTAACTATATTTAAACATGTCCCAAAGATGGTAAATCTTTTGAGGTTGATAATCACCAGGTTATGGTTTCATCTGAAGGCTACCTCGTTCACCTGTTGAAGAAAATAAACCTTTTTTAATTTTTTTTAATTATTCCTGGTTTTGTATGTCTATATTGATGTATATTTTACTGTTATTGTTATAAAGTAACAAAATCACACAAATCAGGGTTCTTAACTATATTTAAACAGGTCCCAAAGATGGTAAATCTTTTGAGGTTGATAATCACCAGGTTATGGTTTCATCTGAAGGCTACCTCGTTCACCTGTTGAAGAAAATAAACCTTTATTTTTTTAATTTTTAAATTGAGTGAGCTTAATTTATGCTACATTTGCAATCCTGTTAACCATTATTTTATTTTATTAATCTGTACAAATATTTATTTTTTGTATGTCTATATTGATGTATATTTTACTGTTATTGTTATAAAGTAACAAAATCACACAAATCAGGGTTCTTAACTATATTTAAACAGGTCCCAAAGATGGTAAATCTTTTGAGGTTGATAATCACCAGGTTATGGTTTCATCTGAAGGCTACCTCGTTCACCTGTTGAAGAAAATAAACCTTTTTTAATTTTTTTTAATTATTCCTGGAGCTGTTTTGTGATGTGTTTGTGGACGTATTTACATATTATGCATGTTAAGTTTTGACAGGTATTTCCAGCGTTGGTTTTCTAATGTTGCCAGCTCATTCCCCACACAGTTGGCAGAACACACAGATATGTACCAGGAGCTTTTTTTTCTCAGTGAGCATTCAGTAGGCTCAGAGTGGGAACTCTTGTTTGAGTTGCTTTGTACGTTCGGGGTCTTTTCTAGGGAAGAAGGGACAGCAAAGACAAGCCCCAACAAGAGCTTAGGGGATTAAGTTCATTCTCACTGCCAATTCGTCACCTTCCCTGTGCCCTCTGCTAGTGGTCTCAATGTGCTGCAGTGTTTTGTGGTGGCTGATTCACTTCAGTGAACAATTATAAGAAACATCAGCTCCTCCAAAAGCAGGA